TTAAAGAAGGAGACGTTATTAATCACGATACAAAGAGGAAACGGAAAAGTACAAAATTAAAGAATATTGACGATTTCACCAGAGATGTAATACGGCGCACAATTTATAATATGTATAAAGAAAATAAAATTCCTACTTTAAACATGATTCGAGATAAATTAAGCGATTATCCTGATTATAATTATAATTCTTAGATAGTTTACGATATGTTTTATTACAATGCGGTTTTGAACATAAAAAACTTGACAATCTGTTAATTATGGAATCACGACGTATAGTTGCACTTATTTACAGAAAATTAGAAAATATTGTCAACTAAATAGGAATATAGCTCGGAATATAGTATATCTAGACGAGAAAGGGTAAAATTTTTCTGAACGCCTATGGATTCCGTAGAGTCTATGAGTTAAATGTTTTTACGCGATTCCAACTGATATCATAACGACTATACATTATTGGGCATGCCAAATGGTTGTGAGATTCTATAGGGTGATATTTTTCGGGAGTCATGCCTCCTTTTCTTCCCTTGAACTTTTGTGAGGTGCGCCGCTGGTAGATTCAGAATACAAATTGAATTTTCTGTTTTGTTATATCAAAATTAATAGACACAAGAGATTATCCAAATAAAGCCAGAGCCTACTGGACCGTTTTAAAAATTTCAATTTCATCTAAGGAATTATACAAATTTTTATTTTTTTTTCTCGATAATGGTAGCAGATATGAAAAAAACATAAGAGACCGAAAAGTTTCTCAACAAAACAAAAAATGAAGTTTGTATTTTAGAATCTTCCAGCGGCTCACCGCACAAAAGTTCAGGAGAGGAAAAGGGGGCATGACCCCCGAAAAAATATCACCCTATAGACTCTCACAACCATTTGGCATGCCCAATAATGTAAACCCTACAGCGTAACCTATATTCCAAATTGAGCTAAATATCTCAAAAATTGTAGGAGCTATTATAGGGAAAAAACTAAAAAAATTTGAAATTTCAACACCTTGTAGATCGGTAACGAAGAGTTTGCGAACCTACATTTATATGAATTTTTGTCATGAAATAAGCCAAAGTATTACCCCTTCCCTTATGTACATGATATTTAGGAACACCCTATATAAAAACAATTTTNTATATGAATATTTGAAAAAAGAAAATTGTGAACAATGTGATAATGAAATTAGGAAACAGATGAGCGAATTAACTAATTGTAAGATATCAAAAACGACAATTTATCGTGTAATTAAAGAAGGAGACGTTATTAATCACGATACAAAGAGGAAACGGAAAAATACAAAATTAAAGAATATTGACGATTTCACCAGAGATGTAATACGGCGCACAATTTATAAAATGTATAAAGAAAATAAAATTCCCACTTTAAACATGATTAGAGATAAATTAAGCGATTATCCTGATTATAATTATAATTCTTAGAAATTTTACAATATATTTTATTTTTGAACATAAAAAACTTGACAATCGTATGTTAATTATGGAATCACGACGTATAGTTGCACTTATTTACAAAAAAATAGAGAATATCGTCAACTAAATAGGAATATAGCTCGGAATATAGTATATCTAGATGAGAAATGGCAAAATTTTTCTGGACGCCTATGGATTCCGTAGAGTTTATGAGTTAAATGTTTTTATGCGGTTCCAACTGATATCGTAACGACTATACTTTATTGGGCATGCCAAATGGTTGTGAGATTTTTTTTATAGGGTGATATTTTTCGGGAGTCATGCCCCCTTTTCTTCCCTTGAACTTTTGTGAGGTGCGCCGCTGGTAGATTCAGAATACAAATTGAATTTTCTGTTTTGTTGATAAACTATCAAAATTAATAGACACAAGAGATTATCCAAATAAAGCCAGAGCCTACTGGACCATTTTAAAAATTTCAATTTCATCTAAGGAATTACACAAAATCGATTTTTATTTTTTTTCTCGATAATGGTAGCAGATATGAAAAAACATAAGAGACCGAAAAGTTTCTTAACAAAACAAAAAATGAAGTTTGTATTTTAGAATCTACCAGCGGCTCACCGCACAAAAGTTCAGGAGAGGAAAATGGGGCATGACCCCCGAAAAAATATCACCCTATAGACTCTCACAACCATTTGGCATGCCCAATAATGTAAACCCTACAGCGTAACCTATATTCCAAATTGAGCTAAATATCTCAAAAATTGTAGGAGCTATTATAGGGAAAAAACTAAAAAAATTTGAAATTTCAACACCTTGTAGATCGGTAACGAAGAGTTTGCGAACCTACATTTATATGAATTTTTGTCATGAAATAAGCCAAAGTATTACCCCTTCCCTTATGTACATGATATTTAGGAACACCCTATATAAAAACAATTTTGCTGACCCTAATAATTTCAATCAAATCTTCTCAGAGCGCATTTGACCTTTCTTTAATAACTACCTACGTATATTGTTTTCATTTTGTGATATTAATATATTTTTATAAAATTCCTTAAGCTATGAGGTAAATAAAAAGAAGGAATGGATATTATACTAAAATCGCCCTTGATTTTTTACGTACGTCATCCAACGTACTGACTGAAAATCAATAAAATACACTTTTTCATTAAAGTTCCTCCATTCAAGATTTGACTGCAAAATTATTACGTTTTTTACATCAATGATAATCACTGTTAGTAGGAGTACCTACGCATCAGTTTTTTATTTCTCCTGAAGAGTTGAGTAAGCTATTCTACACTATACTTGTTTGCCATATTCAATTAAAGCATTTCGATCTATTACGTTCCATAAGAGATTGAAATACTTGATTTACGGAAATACAGAAAATATAAACAATTTCTTACACCCACAAACAAAATATATGCATATTTTTTTGTTATTAATACTTTTTTGGTTCCCTTGTACACAGTAAATGGTACTGATAAAATACTTTAAGAAAAACATCATTTAGCAGTGGTACAGCCCAATGGTTTTAGGTCAATCATTGAAAACATTTTCAAAATCCAAATATGAGAACCAATTAAATATTAAAAAGAAATAGTTAATGTAAGATGTTACTAATATTACGAAATTACTGGATGTTTTATTTACAAAAAAATGGGTCTATACTTATTGACCTATTTAGGTAATTATTTCTTGCCAACAACGCCTGAGAAACTAATATATAGGGCTGTCAGAGAGAGCCGCAATTAAATAGCGTGCCAAGTGGGTCAACCGAGAAATTCGCGAGCCGCCGACTCAGAATGCTTTTCACGTTCACGTCACTTTAGTATACTGTTCCCTTTGTTATCGTGCGGATGTTGGGTAATTAATTCATATCCGTTGGTGTTTATGGTGGTGTATTGTAGATAGTTTTTTATTTTTTTACGCTTAACATGATGTGTACGCCTATGTCCCGCGGCTCAGTCCTGACAGCCCTACTAATAAAGTTATTTAAGATGAGATAGGTAATAATAACAACAAACTGATGAATAGAAATCGACACTTGAGTGCAAAATCAGTGGCCTTACTAAAAAAATTAAAGATGATTTAACTTGATATACTAAAATAAACTTGCCAAAGTGTTACTTTATAGCAAATGAAATGTGGATGTTGCATATCTGTATCATTAAAATGGTTTTTGCAGTAGTTTGTTGTTTTATTTTATTATTTTTTTTTGTAGATAAGTGTGCAGTTACACATATTTTTTCTCTATTTAAGTTCTGGCAAATTTTTTATTCTTTTTTTTGGGTACTTAAGTACATATTTCTCTAAAACAATTTAATTGATCATTATGGATCATGTATGCCAGAATATTACATACATCAAATAGCATAAAAATAGTAATGTTTTATTTTTTTTTAATTAACAGATCAAAACGAGCCATGGCACCCACCTCTCCGCCTTATTTATGCACCGAAGTGTCGAACTCTATTGATAGTGAACTTTTCGCTACTAAGCATATTTTTTACTCGTACCTAGAGACGAAAAATGTATTCAAGATTGAAATCGGCAGACCACTGTTTATAAATTCGCATTACCTGGGTTTTTCCTTACACATTCGTTATGGCTGTACACTGTACCACCTGGGGACTAACAATTCTCTGATCTATCGTGTGCGCTTTGGCTAGATGCATTGTCCTTTGTAACACTAATATGCCTTACAGGGATTACTGGACAACCTCTATGCCGACTGGATTAAAATGTTTACAGATGTCCCATGATAAAAGTAGAACCATAAATTCTTATAAAATCGTTTCCTATTTACTTTAAAATACTGTCTTGTAGCACTAGTTCAACAAATTTTATGAAGGTATCAGATCCTCGCAATTAACAATAAAAATGAGAAAAAATAAAAGAAATTAAAAAGTTGTTTCATCTGACTTTTCCGCATTAGATAAATGTGTAATAGGGTGGAGCTTTGCAAGAAAACTAACAAGTGTGGTTCGTTGCAACATGAACAATAAAAGAAAAAGAAGGTATCCCCTTCTGAAATCTTTGACACTAAACATATTTGCCATATCGGAAAATTTTTACCGTAAATTAGTTTATTATTCCATCAATCTACAACAAGCAAACGTTCTTCAACTTTCCAGCTTAAAATGACATGGACATAATAAACACCCCCTGTGTAAAAGTACATTCAAAATATCAAATCACCAAATATTTATTTGAATCACTCTGTTTTACGGAACTGATAAATTAAAAAACCACCACCCTTTTAATTACTTAAGTATACTTGTCAACCCTATATCAGTCTACGTGTACTTTGTCCTCTTTGTAATTTATATCCTTTTAATGATTAACATTCCACAAATTAAAATAACCAACGAACTGAACAGAAAGCAACGGAAAGAATATTTACTTTAGAACCTTTTCCTTTTGAAATACACTTTAAATTTATTAAGGTGTCCGATTAACGAAAGCAAAAATAACATTCCGGCAAATCGGATCTTTTACCTTCCCTCAGGTTCCATCTAAAAACGTTATCAAATATATCTCTCGTATTTATTTATATGCACGTCTCACATTTAATTACAATGAGGTGGCTATGTGGGGTTTTGCAGTCGTGGATGCTATTTCAGACAGGGTCACATCAATGGGTCTACGGTCATCGTACAATGTGGGGGCTTGCAAGATTATCCCCGCAGTTCCCACTAATACTGCTAACGTAAATATCCAGAGGAACAGCCTGTCGAGGACCATGGCTACGTACTTCCAATCCTCTTTTACCTGAAACAGATGACTATTGTTACAATATGGGAAGTCCCATAAGCCAATGGCTAGTTCTATATAGTAAAATGAAATATATGACTATTTGAAGTTAGTAATCCTAGTCTATCATGTAAGAAAACGGAAAGGAACTTGTTTTTAATACTAAAATAGGATGAAAAACACTAATTATTTATTTTAAATAAGGGTTTGAAAATATTGCCAATAACTAGAAGCAGTTGCTTTGATGATACTGAGGTTGGTCTTCAAAAATTGTTTTCAAGGTTTTACTACAACTAACTCTATCCATGTTGTGAGCAATCAGTTCGTCTATTGAATGCGTAAATTACCTATAGACTGTAAATTGTTTTCCACTGAAACCAACTGTTAGGTCTATGATCTTAGAGTTCCTCATATTTAATTAGGTTCCATAACTGTGATAGTGACCTCTCCGTATAGGTTGCAGTTCCTACGAACAGTGGATACCGCACTCTTACTAGAACTTCACTTTATCCTTCGGGCAGAACCTAGATAGGCTGACTACCAAGTTAATATTAGGTACTCAGATGTTTCTTGAATTTGCAATGTCCTATTGGCAACCCCACCATAATCCTTATTATCCTTAGGAAATCTGCTGTTAACTCTTTTGGTCGGTCATTTAAGAATTTCTTGAGAAGCCTTTCATCATTTTTTAACCTTATGTTTCAACTATTTTCGTATAAGTATCTTAATAAAGGAGCTAGAGATTCAGACTCTTGAAGAGCCACAGATGAGCCTACTCTGGCTGGGGTCACATCGTCGTAACTTCCTGGCCATATCAAAGTCTTTTGTATTTACTTTTACCTTACACGATAATTTTTTCTGGATATCTTTACATCTCAGATTTTGAGTTGGGCGATGGATGGAAAGTGAACGTAAAAGAGACATTAAATGATTCATATAGAGATGACTAATTATTTGTATTCATAAAGGAATGTTAAAATAAATTTGTGAATTGCAACATATACAGGGTGTTCTACTAGCTCTATGATAAACTTGATAGATGGTAGCTGGGTCAATTTCAAACATTTTTACTTATATGAACATAGGTCCGATTTGTTTTTGTTTGGAAGTTACAAATTTCAATATGGTAGACAAGCTGTTTCATTTGTCCCCATAAATAAAAGTCTAAAGGATTTAGATCTGGGGAACGAATTGGCCATGTTATTGGACCTTGTTGTTTATTCGGGAAATGATCATTTAACCAAGCAGTTACTTGTCTCCTTCTATGTGGTGGTGCACCGTCATGCTGACACCACAAATTTTCAACGAGATTAAGCCCATCAATTAAATCAAAAAGATTATTATCCAAGAAAGTTCTATACAGCTCTGCAGTTAAACGATCTTTTAAAATATATACAGGCAGTAAATTATTGTTGAAAATGCTACCCCAAACGTTGACACTGAAACGTTGCTGAAGTCGTATTGATCTAATTGCATGCGGATTTTGCAATGCCCAGATATGTTCATTATTATTTACGCCGTTCCTAGTAAAACACGCTTCATCAGACCACATGACAAGCGAAATGAATCTATCATTTTGTGCATGTTGTTGAAGTAACCAGCAACAAAATTCTATTCGCTTGTACATTTTGGCGATGAAACGGATGTAACTTTTCTCTGTTCAATACACGCTGTACAAAATTCGGCGATAAATGAAGATTACTTGCTATACGCCGAATACTAATTGAAGAAGAGTTGTCAATGACAGCATCTATTATACCTTCTTCATTTTGTACATTCAATTCAGTAGGACGATAGGCCTTTTTTGGAGCGGGGTTACCTTCTTCTCGAAGTCTACGAAATATTGCACTAAAGACTGTGTGAACACGTTGATGTCGATTTGGGTATCTTCGTCGGAATTCTTGGTTGCTTGTCTGGCGTTCTCATTAGAGTACCTATATACAAAGTCAATATCTGCATATTCATCAGTTGTAAATAAATCAATGTTTTATTTAGCATTTTAACGCTAAGTGTCAGATGGATAAACAAAATGACACAAATAATATCTTTTGTTATATCAACCATCATTTTTATTTATCGGGCTACTTTGAAATACGAAATTATATTTTTTAAAATGCTTGTAACTTCTAAACAAAAACTAATCGGACCTATGTTCATATAAGAAAAAAAAAATGAAATCAACTCAGCTCCATGCTCCATCTGTCAAAGTCTGTCATACAGCTTGTAGAACACCCTATATATCACCAGGGGTTTTTCAAATACTGGCAATGGATTTCATGAAGACTTATTGAATCTTAATTTGTTATAACATATATTTACTTACTACCAATATCAAACTAATACTACCAACTTCAAAAGTCTAACTTTTTTTGGGGAATTGGACAAGATAACCTTTTCACATGGAATAATTAATGCCAGGCACACTCTCTCATTTCCTATTGAGTCACTTTGGTTGTTACTATGGATAGTTGTTTGAATTAGTGAATCAAATATGTTTGTTTAGGTATAAATTTATAATCTTCGTCTTACCAACTTAACTATTTCAGTAAGAAAACGAAATCAATGAAAATATTCTCTTTAAAAACGACTGTAGTTAATTGAATTTGGAACTTTCGTTGAAAGAAAATAGAGTTGCTGAGATGAGAGAGATTGTAGAATCAGGTAATTCCTTCATTGTATCCCTTGTGCATTACATACTCATGCAATTTTCAAATATCCTTTCGGGAACTTTTCTAGTCTCAAATAATATATTTATAACTTAGGTATTTTCAAGCTTAAATCTGAAGGTGTAACGAAAAGTAATTGTTCTTATAGATACCTTATATAATAATCAATTTTGTATACATCATAACTAATCAATTTATCATGAGAAGACATAAGACATAAAAGGCGAGTTAATTCGCTCATTTAGACCTATCTTAGTCTTAAATGTCCAACTCTTATCTCCCATGAACAGACCAGATTGGAAACGAATACTACCCAATTTAGATCCTTTTATGTTCATTAATGACATCATTTCGACCGGCCTTTTTGTCACATATAAAGTGAATACTGGTTTATGAGACTTTAAATATTTCATTATACTTTAATGTTAGATATGGACGTAATGAATGTTGTTAAAACTTAATTTTGATATTTTAAGAATTTTACATCTCCCTCTTTTCCTCGGGTGGGACTCCAGTCATATTTTCAATTAGCTTTTTCGCGTTTAGAACTAATAAAAACATGTTAACTTACTCTGGTAGAGTCCTCTTCTCTTCTGGTATGGTCCGCGATAAATCTGACGCCATCAATGGCTTTGTGCACTTCCGGACAGTGATGCCAGGGGTGAGATTCCTTACAAAGGACATCCTCTAAGTGGTCCTCCAGGTTACCTCCATTCAGTTCATCTCCTAAATGGAAGCCTACGCCTGGAGGTGGGGTAGTGCCGTGAATACTGCACGATCTTAAGGCTCCTGCTTCCAATTCCCTAATTTATACATAATGAGAGAGTGATTTGAAAGATAACAAGACTCGTATGATAGTTTTATTAAAACTAACATAAGATGAATTGATTAAACTCCCTCTTTCCAACAAAAACCTCGAAAATAAAAACACAGTGTGTACCAATTTCTTCCTGTGTATAGATTTTTGTTAGTCTTTTTGACAGACCTGTTACAAGTTACTTCTTCTATTTTTGTTATTTTCTTATTTTATAAATCATTGATAGACTTTAGCGTCACGCGCCGTTGAAAGAGTTGTTATAATAATAAACGTGTCATTAAGCGTAGGTATATATATTAAAAAATAATAACAATAACAAAACTAGAAGTTTCTTAAAAGTAATGACAAATAAAGTACAATTCTGCAGCTGGTATATAAAAAATATATAAGCTATTTAATATTGAAGTTGTTCTCGATTAATGAATATAAAGTCATGATCTGAGTTTTCTCGAGTTTATAATGACAGTAAAACACTTTCTGCTCATTGTAATAATCAAAACCATATTTTTTTATAGGTTTCAGGTTTCGAAAACAACGCAATAATCATTGAAAAAAATCTATAACGACGAAAAGGTGAGATTTAAATTCAAAGGTTCCTTAATAAAGTTACTCTTTCAAGTCGAGTGGGGAATTCAAAATGCAAAAACATGCAGAATCTGTATTCAATGAATACGAATGTATTTTGTTATCAACTACATTGAGTTGCAAGTAAACTCGCATATAAATAAGAAATTATGTTGATAAGAAACAGGTCTCTGTTTTCCTTAGTTCAGAAGCTGAACATCTACTAATAAATTAATGGTCTGATCCAGTATAAACTCAATATTACGAGGGTAGATCAAATATAAACGGAATTTTTATTCCTGAGCGTCCACGGTTGGTAGAACTGGACCCGCGCTTCTTGTATGCTTAGGTGGAGTCATCAGGAGTGGGAAGAGTTGACCATTCCACACTCCCAACCAATGAGTCCCTTACATTCATGATGTCGGAGTAGGAGCACCTTTCCACTGCGTAACGCATAATTACAAAATTTCTTGCTCGTGAACCAGTTCGTGTACCAAACATTCTCAAGGACCTGTGTGTTTAATTGGAAAATCAGGAATACGATCGCAGACCTCGGACCAGCAGACGAAAACATTCCCGCGGTTCGAGATGTGGGTCGAGGGTCGACAGTTGAAAATACCTGTCTAAAATAGCAGAACAGGTCGAAATAAGTTTTGGGAGATAGCTGTCAATCGAACACAAACGACCTACAGTTCCGTAACTTGTGTACCAGAGGATTCCCTCGCCTTTTGGCCATAGATTGGAAGTTGAGACATTTAGAGGTCTGTCAGAGGGTTACAGCTAGCATACATTAAAAGACGCTCCGCGCGCTCCAATCAGGAAAAGGTGGGTGTGGCGTTTAAACTGCCAATTTTTAATGACAATATACTAGTCCAATTAACTAAGCCTTTAAATCGAAATTTTGCCAACTTGGCTGAATTTTTGATATGAGTTAGTTTAAGGTATATTATAACAATAAGTGAGAGTAATTTTTTGTTCAACCCCCGGCCAAGGGTGGAAAAAGATAAAACAAAGGGCTTTTTCAAGATAACTCAAAAAGGGTAAGAGCTAGAAAAAAAAGTTTTTCATGAAAGTTGTAAAGCAGACAATTCTACATAAAAATGGCCTCTTAACTTTTTCTTGTACTATTACAATTAACAGAGTTAGGGAGGCTAGAAGTTAAGGGAAGATTTCAGAAATTTAAAAAAAATCATAACAAACAGAAAAATGATTGAATTTTGTAATTTTTTTTTTCAATCTGCTCTAAAATATGTAACTTTTCTTTTCAGAGAAATAGATATATTTTTTAATTTTTAATAAGAAAGTTATAACAAAAAATCAAATTTTTAATCGTTAATTTTAATGATTTAACAAAATTAAATTTCTGAAATCTTCCCTTAACTTCTAGCCTCCCTAACTCTGTTAATTTTAATAGTACAAGAAAAAGCTAAGAGACCATTTTTATGTAGAATTGTCTGCTTTACAACTTTCATGAAAAACTTTTTTTTCTAGCTCTTACCCTTTTTGAGTTATCTTGAAAAAGCCCTTTGTTTTATCTTTTTCCACCCTTGGCCGGGGGTTGAACAAAAAATTACTCTCACTTATTGTTATAATATACCTTAAACTAACTCATATCAAAAATTCAGCCAAGTTGACAAAATTTCGATTTAAAGGCTTAGTTAATTGGACTAATACCCTAGGCGCGAAAACCGAAGTACGTGTTTTCTTAACTCTTAATCTTACTTGTATGTTTTGGCAATTTCAATCAGCATATATTTATAGTTCTTGCTTGTTATTTGCACAGATTATAAAGGAGTTAGTTAATAGTTGAAAAAATATTAGTATAAAGTTGTCGACACACATTTAAAACAGCAATTTTTATTGCTATTAATTAATTATTACTTGTGCACTTAGTCCTCACAACATGGCAATTATGAAGTAAGTCTTATTTTAAAAATAAAGCTACAAGATTAAATTTTTTATTTTTGTTGTGCTTTTGTAGAGACTGCAAATTGGTTTGTAAAATTTGTTAAAAGGAGTTCTCCAGTATATCTAAAAAAAATAGACATATAAGACATCTTTCACGATGAAGTAACGATAGAGAAGAAGAAACTCCAACGAATTCGGTGTCCATTGTGCCTCGAAGAAGAGAAATTCAATTGCTGTGAACATTTGATGGAACATTTGAAACAACGTCATAAGGTAAGTATAATGGAATCTGTTTTGAGTTTCAGGAATTTTGAAGATTTTGAAGCGTGGAGAGCATTAGACAATAGAGATGTGGATTATGCGTGTTATAGAAGATGTAAACGTCCCAATGGTAATGAAGACATATATTACAATTGTAATAGAAGTGATTCTAGAGGTAGCCATTTGTATAAACATCTGACGAACAATGTAGGTAATATGTATTACTTAAATTTTTTTAGGATTTACCAGTACATGTCACAAAAGAAATATGAAATTAGGAGGAAGCATACGAATTCAAGGAACATGCCCGTCAAGAATTGTTGTGAAAATCCAACAAATGGTAAAAACATTTTTCAATAGATACATTGTTCTGTTGGAATGGTTGAAGTAGAATTTGTCGAAACGCACGTGGGACATGCAGACGAGTTGAGGAGTTAGCGTCTATCAAAAACTGAACAGTCCAACAATTAACTGTAGGAGTAACAAAAGAAAGAATAATGACAAATTCCCGGATTATTGAAAACGACGAATTGCGAAGGATAAATATAATAACAAGAGGAGATTTGGCATATTTAATTAGGAAATTCAATATTGACGAAAGAAGAAATGCAGATGATATGATAGCGACAGCTTTAAAAATGGAAGAGTGGAATAGGCAAGGAAAAAATAATGCATTTTTATTTAAACAAATATGTAAATAAGTAAAAAATCAGTAAAAATATATGCCTAAGGCTTTTGTGTGGTGGGCTGGTGTTGGTTGATGGTGGCAGAATTTTGAAATACATTTTAGGTGTCATGGAAAAAAGCTAAAGGAATTCAAACGTGTAATTTGTATAGATGGGACTCATGGGACTAATAGAAGAAATTGGGACTTAACAGTAGTTTTAGTTAAAGATGAAAATAATATGGGTTTTCCTGTCGCATTTTTACTTTCAAATAGATTAGATCAAATAATTCAATACATTTTTTTTACTGCGTTGAAGTCAAGATTAAGAGAAAGCGTTGAGGCTGACGAGTATAATGAGTGACGATGACATAAAATATTACAATGCTTGGACCAAGGTTATGGAGACAGAACGAAAGCCCAGAAGATTACTTTGCACGTGGCATATTATAAAAAACTGGAATATCCAAGGAAGATCAAAATTAAAGAAACCAGAAAATAGACAAGAAATGAAGATGAAAATGAGAAATACTTAGGAAGTTGATACAAAAAAATTTCTGGAGTTAAAGGAAAATTATTTTAAGCACTTGGAAGAAGAAGGAGAAAACGAGTTTTTAAAATATTTGCAAAAGTTTGTTTACAATCTAAAAACACAAACCACATGAAAACATTGTTTTTTGTTTCTAGTTACTATTTTCAAAGCGAAGAAAGAATCATGATGTGGGCTCATTGTCATAGGATAAATGCTGGTATAAATACGAATATGGCCATTGAAAGTTTAAATAAGTTATTGAAGTATAATAAAATGAATGGGCATAGAAATCTCCGGTAGAGTAAATTCAAATTTAAAAAAACGTGCTATAAATTATCTTTTTTTTTTAGTGTTGAAAAATTACTCGATTTGTTAGATGAACTTGTAGATGAGAAAATGTGGAAGCGAATTATAAACACAGAAAGACCTAATGCGAATAATTACCAAACAAAAAATAACCGTAGAAGCACTCAAAAAAGCCGAACAGATGAAGGATAATGTACAGTACTCGGAATTTGGAACATTAAAGGTCCAATCATGTACAGTAAGTAATAAATTTTATTTAGTCTCATATAATGAAATATGTGATGAAGATTGTAGAACTTTTTATTGTAGCCAATGTAAAATTAGTATACAGAGGATATCTATGTGAATGCCCAGAATATGCAGTAAAATGTACAATGTGCTGTAGTTCTGTTTGAGGGGAGAAGCGTGTCTGTTTTAGGTCTATCAAGCAGTTCTCCGTGTTCCGAAGAATGTAATGTGCTATGTATTGATGAACCCACGACAAGCCAAATCCGATAAAGACAATTTAACTCATTTCCTAGATGAAAACTGCAGGAATCAAAATTCTAATAAACCAGTAAATTTTGAAAATAGACGTGAGGCATATATGTAAAGTATTTAGTTACATAACCACCTCATTATAGGTTTAAATTTTTAGATTGCTTTGGATGCGATTTGTAGATTTGGTAAATCTTTGGATGAAGAATCATTTGATAAATTTATGATGGAGTTTAATAAAATTAAAGATAGGTTTCAGCAAAAAACAGATGTA